ACACACACACACACACACACACACACACACACACACACACACACACACAAATACATAAAGGCTGTGTATCCCATTTTTTAGTATCCCCCAGAAGTAGCAGATGGGATGCATTGAAATCCTAACTGGATCAAGTTTTTTAGCTATATTGGTGTTTAGTTGATCCAAGTGATTTAAAAATTTTTATTTTACCTGTTCCTGAAGGTTCAAGGTGAGCTAAAAAGAAAATGGCGGAGCATGTGTCTGAACTGTCGTCTGAGCAGGAATCGCCACAACAACACCTTCGCCTCCAGAAACGGTTCACAGCACATGGTGCAGTTTCACAACAACTCCAGAACCCAGTCCATTCTGCAGACAGAGACCTCGGTGCTGTGAGAACACGAGGTCTTTGACACACAAACAAACATACAAAAACACAAAAAAATGCAGTCTTAAGATTGACCTGGGTCCAATAGTTTTACAAAGTTATTAGGAAAATACAAAAAAAGTAGTACTTTGAGATGAAGTACCACAAGGGTGGGACCTGCACATCATTGTAGTGCAGATTTTGGTTTTAGCTTTACAAATCTCTGCAAGCCTTCAAGTTTCTCATTAGTGGATCAAAAACTTTTCAGATCTGTCCAGTGAGGTTTACTGTGTTTGCTGCTAAGAGCCTTTTTTTTTTTTTTTGCAGTCTTTATGCTATGATGTCTGCTGCGTGAGCAGAGAAAAACATGTGCAACGTCCTTATACTGTTTTACCTGGAGCTTTGTGCACAGATGAGATATAAAATGTATATACTTGAATGTTGCATGCATTGAAATCTATATTTTTGAACAAACATACGTGTAATAGAAACAGCAGGATCTAGGTGCTGCAGACTTTAAATTGGCACTTGCAAAAAGTGCAAAAAACCCCCCCCAAAAAAACAGAACCATTTTTGCCGTCTTTAACAGAAAGGAAAACAGGTGATTGTTTCAGTATACAAATCTTTATATAACTGCTGCCTGCTGTGCGATTTAACACCGCTGGTAATACTGTACTGCAGTCTTACCAGCTGTCATTTTGGAGCCATGCTGTAAAATATAATAGATTGGCTATGGGAAACCTTGCAATACTTTTTTGTTTGATACTGACCTAAAATTCATGGTAGCCGTGTCAGGATTTAGTTTCCAGAACGTGCATCCTGTATGCAATAACGCAGCAAAATGGCAGTCCTGTCATTAAATCCTTTTCTATGTGCCTCCTGTGTTCTCCCAGCCTTATCACAGGTGTCTGTGTGAGTTTGTTCCTCACCCTGTTTCAGTTTAATCTTTTTTAATTTCCTATTCTCATTATTGTCTTGATTGAGTCCATCTGTTCCCTCTCCATGGTGTTTGTCTTAGAAAAACAGACTCTTAGCCTCCAAATGTTCTCCTGTTGTTTGGTGCTCCTGGCTGGCTGTCACTCTGTAAAGCACCTTAAGTTATCAAATTCCTGATTAAAGCCTCTTGTGTTTCGCCACCCTCCTGTCAGTTGCTGTTGTGTTTGCATACTGGGTCCTCATGGGAATATTTCCAAAAATCTGTGAGAAATGCTGGTGTCCAAACCCAACTTTAACACAGCATTTGCTTCCAGTACCAAGTCATTGTTGTTGCCTTTTTACCACAGCTGTCTCCAAACCCAAATTTGGGCATATGTTATCCGTTTTGGAGACCATGGGTAGTACATTTATTATCATTTAAATAGAAAAACTTGGTTATGTAAATTAAAAAAAAATAAAAAATCGAGTTGTAAAAAATTGATTTGTAAATATTTTTTTAAACATTAGGTTTTACTTATAGTATCTCTGGCTGTTCTTTTAATAAGCTTCTCCTAGTTTTTTCAAACCATTTCACATAAAGGTCAGTTTTAATGATTGGTTTTTTACAAATATACAGGGAAAGGTGACAACTTGTCACTTCAGTGAATCATTTACTGGTCCACAGTGGCCACACCCACCCATTTGATACTTAAAATTACTGGTAAGAATAAGTCGAAAATGCATTTTGACCCAGGTCAGCACATGAGCTCAGTGTTTCTGGGCTTATGGTTAAAAACAAAACAAAACCACTGGTAAACACAGGGTTGTTTTGTACCAATTTTAATCCAAACTGTTCTCCAAAACATTTTTATTTTTGATGCACAGTCAACAAACTGCTGTCACTGAGAATTCCTGAGCATGCTCCAAACTCTTCATCCATGCTCTGATGCTTTTGGCACAGTGCTCGGTGACCTGTTCTAAAGACACAACACAGACGAGCACTTTAAAGATGTCATTTAATTAACAAGATGGCGTGTTCGTGAGAGCCTGTGTTGGGAAATAATGTTGTCTTTAAAATTACTTACATAAAAAGAGGTTTATATGATAGAAATTCGCTTCAAAACACATTTAATGTGTTTCAGCAGAAGAACCTCCAGGCCGTCACCACTTAATGCAGAAGTGCCTGGTGGATACAAGTAACTATGAAATGTTTTACTTTATGTTGGTTTTATTCATGCAACCAGTGTTTTGTGGTAGTTGCATGAAATCCTCAGTGTTTGACTTTTTTTGATTGCTTTTGGTAAACGGCTGTTAACGTGTGATTTCTTGTAGATTCTAATTGTATATTTTGTCAAGACAAAACGCGAAAAAATGAAAACTTTTGCTTTTTGCAATGTGCTATATTTTTCTTTAACATGTTGTATTTAATGGTCAGCACAATACAAAAAGTTCTGGTGACACTTGATTTAAGGCATACAGAATTATTTTTAGTAGTTTCCTCTTCAAACCTTTAATTTAAGTGTATGTGTGTGTCCCTATATTTTAAATCAGCATTCAGTTCTTGCGTTGTGTCACAAAATATAGTTAATAAAATACACATAAACATCGAGGTAAAGTCATACTTGCAGCAGCAAGTAATCTGGTCCATAAAATTTGAAGAAGGAGATCAGATATTTGTCCAAACTTATTTCAATGTGTTTTGCAGGGTGAACAACACTGAGGCAGAGGCGATTCTTGAAATTTCCCTGTTTTGTTTTTAAAGCCATTATTATTTATTACATTTTTATGGTATCCTCTGCATATCAGCAGATGATACAAAATACTATATATTACATTACTAGGAATGTATGAGGCTTTACTCTTTCAAGAGTTATTTTGGGGATTTTATTCATGCTTTTATTTTATGGGAACTTATTAGACAGACAGGGAGATGCCTAAAGAGAAGACTTGCAGCATGGATTCACTGTCTATGGTGCAAATGGTGCTTTGTTAAAAATTTGGAAAGGAACAGAAAAGGAAATGACAAAAAAAGCGGGGGCAAAAAGATAAAGCATGTTTGAATAGTATAGATAACGACAACTGTGTTCTTCATGGTAACATGTCTTTGTAGTTTCTTAGTAATCCACTTCATGGTAGTTTTAAGTACTTGGATTTAGTTACCTTGGATTACTGGATTACTTTTTGATTTGTGAAGAAATATCATCCCTCTGTTTCGTCATTGTCATCCACCTACAACCAGTCAGATGCATGGTACAACATAAAGAGCCAGCTCAACAGGACAGACTCATCTGTGTCTGTGACAGGAGTAAAATAGGCCGTCTGTATCTCCTGTAAACAGTTAGCACTAAACAGAGGTGGCGGCTTAAAACACCAGGTCTCAGTAATCTAGAATGCAGTCTTAAGAACCCCACCAGGCAATTCATCCCACACTCCCAACTCAACCCAACAAGCGTCTTGAAAGAGAGATGAAATGTCCTCACACACCAAAACAAAAACACAGCAATCATTTAGTCTAAGATATTTATTAACAGTTTTAGTAGCAGGTGGGTACAGGTGTCCATACTAAGGTTTTAGCTCAGCTGCTGCTGATTTTGTCAAAAAATTATTTGGTCCTTAAACAGAAACTAAATAAGTAAATGTTCCCACTTAACAAGCTGTACCTGGTCATGTTTAAATAACGATTTAAACATGTGATCATCTATTGAAATCAATGTCGATTAATTTAACTAAACAACTTGTTTAATTGTACAGAAATTTCAGTTGTAATTTCAAAACAAAGCTGTTGCCTTAATGAAAGTGTTACCAAGTACCTTAAAAGATGTCACTATGTTACTCAGTGTGTCATTTAACATCTATGTGACTACAAATGATTGAGAGTCTACAAAACCATATACAGCACACAGTGTTGACTTGCCGAGTGAATTCATATTTAATGTTGATTGACATGTTGCTACGAATCATGTCGCCTGAACACATGTATTTGTACTTAGACACCATGAATGTCATGCAAAAGATGATTGATAAAGGCTACCATTGTAAGCATTGCACTGTGTGAATGTAACTCTCTGGAAATTTGCATTTTATTTAATATTGCTTGTTTTACTGTCCTCTCAATGATAGGAACATGATTTCTGTGTGGTAACATTTATTACATTGAAAATTCTAGACACTTGGGCCAAACTTGTTTGCAGTTCAAAATCATTTGAAGTCACTGGGGTTGGCTTTATCCATTTCTTCCTTAAACTAATCTGAACCAAAACCATTCAAAAGCTTGCAAATTGTGTAATTATCATCATTACTAACAGCCTCAAGTGATTCAAAGACTCTGAAAACTACTTTTAAAATCTTTGAACCCATTATAGTAGCTACACCAGCCCAGACCTCGAGAGCTTTGGTCCTGCAGATTTTAGATGCATCCCTACTCCAACACAGCTTAATGAAATGGTTGAATTACCTCTTCAGCAGGCCATCAAGTTTAGCAAAGGCCTGGTAACAAGCCAATCATTCGACTCAGTTGTGTTGGAAAAGGGATGCATCTTAAAGCTGAAGGAGAGTAGCTCTCGAGGACTGGAGTTGGAGACTCCTGATCTACACAATCTAAAGCGTATCCCAGCAGTTGGTGGCCCCTTCAGTGCTGATACTGTCTTCATCTCAAACAGGAATGAGCCTAGCTGTATAAATGTTGTGGAAGCTTTTATTCCACCTGAGAACAGTAGCTACTGGCCTTATTATAATTTATTCATTTTAGAGTCTGACTCAAGGCCAGTTCATGGTTTCCATGTTGAAGAGGCCGCATAGCCAGCTGTGAGGAAATTCATGCACAGCCCAAATTTTGGGTCCTCAGAGGGAAACAACAGAATATGTGCCAAAAAAGCTCACATAAAAACCTGGTTTTTGCACCACATAAATTTCCACCATGTATATTTTATTGATGACACTTCCACATCTTGTTTTTGGTTGCTATTTGTGTGTGTGGTTGTGTCTGTCTCTTCTAGCAATATTGCACATAAAAAACAGGTTGTGCACCGTTACACCATCAAAAGGTTAAAATTTGATGTGTTGGCTTCTTCAGCTCACACAAAGAGTGTACTTCATGGTATCCATTTATGGCATATTACATTTTATAATGAATTTTAAAAATATCCAGCCTTCACCATATTCACGATAGACTCCTTTGCTAGTGCACATAACATGTTCAGATCTGCTTGTTTGAGTTTAGTCTGCAGAAACCATGAATTGGTCTTTACCTTTACCTGTTTTCTTATTTGGTACCCAAATAAGCAGGCAGTTCTCCATTGTGGTTCACAAAGCCCAAAAGAAGATTCCTAAAATGTTTTAAAGCAGTCTCTCCTTCAGCACATTTCAAATGTTGCAATTATTATTATTTTTAGCCTGTTGAAAACTCTTTTGCAGCTCATTGTTGATTGATGTGGTTGGAAATTAGTGACTGTTTTCTTTTAAAAGACATCCGAACATGTGACAAGGACATTGAAATGGAAGCACAGCTTGAATGAAAATTAAAAAAAATAAACAGATTCTGTGCACTGCTTTTGTTGCTTCTGGTTTATTTAGTCTTTTATAAAGTTTCAGCGGTTGAAGGTTGATCAGAACAAAGCAAAAGTTGTTTAAAACAACTTTGGTTTCTCACAGTGGACGCTTACTAACCTATCAAGTAAACACACCATAACAAGCTTATGAAATCCTGGGTTAATCCTGGGTTACACTCTTTTTCATATATATATTTAGTGCAAGGGTTATTAAAATTCTAATTGGGCACACTGTCTTGATGTCTTGGAAATATCAGAAGCTAATCCAGACTGACGGACTCAGTTCCTGCCTCGTGTTGGTGAAGGTATGTAGTCTCGAACTGCTCTTTTATACGTTGCTAAAATCTGAAAGCTGCAATGAAGATGAATGTTTGTTTGAGTAATGATATTATTGTCAAAACAAACAGACTGTATCGGTGGTCCAATCATCTTACACAATGCTGTCTAACAAATGTCCTTTATCTGCCCTCTAATTAGGATGAATTCCTCTCATCAGATAAGAGAAAAACAGCATGGGCAGTGAACTGTGGTCACTCTGACTCCTTAGCTGAAGTTCACATTTAACAGATTTTAATTAGAGTAATGCATCATGGATTTCATCTCATGCTTCAGACACAAATACTGAATTCTTTCAAAGAAATAGAAATATTAGATCAGTATAATGGAAGAGACATATTATGCAAATGACATGATCTTTGCCATGACTTGTAATATATTGTATATTGTGTTTGAGGAACAGTCGTGAACAAAATTTCTACCAATATGTGGTTGCTTACAGTCAGAGCAAAGAGCCGTGTTGCATTGATTCGATTTTTTTAACATTGCTTAAAAGGTTTAAAATTCAACTGAAGAAAAGTCCAAATGTTCAGTTTTAAGGACTTTTT